TGCGGAAAGGACTGACTGCTCAGGTCCTGGACGCGAAGGCTGACCGCGGAGGAGGCCTGGGGAGAATCCCTCTCCTTCCCTCCTTCCGGGCCGGCTGCAACTCGGAGCGACCCAAATCCTCCCAAACAAAACAATATCCGTCCCCAAATGAAAGCCTGAATTGCACAGGAAAGGCAAGGCTCGTCATTAAAAGTAGAAAAGTGTTGTCCTTTCCCTCCACGCAAGGCGTGTGGACCCCAAACGTCACCCAGGAGCCTTCCAACTTTTAAAAAACTAGATTCCCAAAGAAGAGAAGTTCGTCTCCTAAGATTCACCAATTTAGTGGCCGAGCTGCCTGGGGCCTGTGGAGTCCGGGCCCTCAGGCTCGCTACTCTGCAGCCCCCAGAGCCGCGGAGCACCCACCGCCCACCCGGCTCGGCTCACACGTCACGCCCGCCCCGCCCCGCCCCGCCCCGACGGCGCCCTGCGGGGTCAAGTCCTGGGGAGAGCGCCCGGCCCGAGCCGCGACGGCGAGGGGCCGGAGGAGGGACGGAGGCACTCACCCACCGAGAGCCCGGCCGCGCACCCGGAGGTAAAGATGCAGTTGCAGAAAGTACCACTGGCGGGGTTGACGCGGACTCGAAAACCTCAGGACGGCGACAGGCGGCGGAGCGAGCGGTGCCCGCCCCGCAAGGAGAGCGGACGCCAGCGACGCCTGGGCCTGGGACGGGAGACGAGCGAGCGAGCCTGGGGAAGGCGAGGGCCTCACCCGCGCAGCCGTCGCGCGCTGCCTTGGCCTGCACTCGCCCAGGGGAACAGAGGTGACCCGCGGTGGCCGCGGTTCCGGGTTGGCGCCGGTGCCTCTCTCCTGCTGCTGCGAAGCGCAGAGTGGCCTGGACTGGGCGCAGGAGGCGCTCCGCTCCGGGCCTTCCGTTCTCACTCTCCAAGCTTGCCCAAGTTTGGGCTTCTGACGTTCAGTTTAAACCTGCACCCGCCAGCCCTGCTCCGAGGGCTCTGCGAATCAGTCCTGTCTTAGGAATGCTTCAACCGAACAAGCCTAATTGTGTTGAATAACTCCTATGTGTGACTCCTCCCAGGGAAGACGCCAATTTATTAGATGATGTAACATTTACATTGCCTCACATTTTTTTGCATTCCTACTTTGGCATTTTATAAAATTTTAAAACATTTATATTGGGAGACAAAAAAACAAACCAAAAAACTGTCCAGTGGTGTCCAGGCCTGTGGTGGAGCCCAAGCTGAGCAGACCACTGAGCACTTGTAAATTCCTGAAGGATTCAGGAATTCAAAGCAGACTGCTTTCAGTCGGTGATTCAGCACTGCCTAGACATTCCTAATAATAATTAATAATAATAAGATTATGCCAGGTGTACAGTGCTTAATAGTTTTCAAAGTTTACCCACAGTCTTGTGATCCAAGCTCCCCAAGGGCAAATGTGGAGGATGCCCACGCTGCCCACCTCAAATCTTAAAATGTGCCTCTGGGCTTTTAGGGACCTAACTTCGCCTCTTGCGGCCTGTAATGATGGAAAAGTCCCATTGTCACTTTGAGCCTCAGTTTCCTTTTCTGTAAAATGGAGGTGACATCAGCTAGGCTTCAGCAGCCTCGGTGAACAGGAGGGCAGGGCAGGACTTGTAAGTGCTCTTGGGAGTGCAAGGCCCGGACAAATGGATGCAGTTGTTGCTTTGCTGTTGTGCTATTCTTGTTAAATACGCTTTGGCTGCTCCTCTGGGACTCCCTCCAATTAAGAGCCTCTGCCATTGCTTCCTTCAAGGTGGCTTCTGTGGCAGCCAAAGGCTTTGAGCAGGGGCAACAACCATTGCTGCTCCTGGCTCTGAGTCCTTTCTGCCATTCTGAGCACTGTGAAGTATTTGCTGTCTCCTGCAGTCCCCACGAAGCTCTGAAGCTCTGTGCCATTCCCAACTAAGAGTGAGATCGGTGGCCTTAAGGATTTAAGCTCTACGCTTGCTGGGCAGCAGCTAGGGGCCCAGCTCCTGCGTATTTCCCTTCCTCTAAAGGTCACTGTCCCCATGGCCCCTGTTGTCCTTTGGAGGCCAGCGCCTCCTCCAGGAGTTTCCTGGTCTTGGGGGAAATGTCAGGCTCTGCCTGCATCTCATGTTTGTTCAGTCCTGGCTCTTCCCCTGGCAAACCAGGAGTCTTTCTGTAAATGTGTTGGATTCTGCAGAGTTTGGAGGCAGAGGCAAGATTCTACATTTTCCTCCTGAAAGTCAGCTTCATGTTGGGTCTGGAAAGTGGATTGTTGGTCTGGCCTGGGGGCACCAAGCTCTGGTGGCCAGTTGGTACTTAATTGGCAGGACCTCCGTCTGAGGATATCTACAGGCATGCAGTGAGGTTCCGCCGCTGTGGGACACTTGGCCATCTTTGTGCAGATCCAAGGCTTTGCTCTGAGCCCCCATCCCTCTGAGAGCGGGGAACCAGGAACCAGGAGCAGTGCTCTGGGACACTTTCCCAGTCTGGGAAGGCCCCAGAAGCCGCTTTTCTAATCTGTCGATCGCTCCAGGTCCTGGATGCTAATGCTACTGAGTCACTGCTCAGAGGCATGGGGACGACATCAGAGATCATTTTAGACCAGCTCCTGTGAAGTTGGACTTGGCACAGTGCCCTCCCATTCCTAATGTGGTAGAGGGGCAAGGATGCTGGGATTCCCTGAGACAGGAAGCCACTTCTTCTTGAAAATAGTACTCAACTTTAACTCCCCCTGCCTGATGCCTGCACAGCCAAGATACTGTCTAGGAATCTGAGAGTCCCACAAATTCAAGCTTTTGGAACAGGACACAGCTTGAGATAAGGACCGAAGGCCCGAGTCTCTCCCTCCCTCCCTCCCTCTCTCTCTCTCTCTCTCTCTCTCTCTCTCTCTCTCTCTCTCACACACACACACACACACACACACACACACACACACACACAAACTATGGGCATCTGGCAGCCAACTGATCCTGAATCTGCTCCCCAGAGCAAGACTATGACTCCGCCTGAATCCCTGGGATCCATTTCAGTCTAGGCCAAAGAGCATGCTGCCCCCTGCCCCAGCCATTCCTCTTGCCTCAGTTTATCTATCTGTAGGGCAAGCAGGGTGACCAGAAGCCCAGCACTAATAGTCACCAAAGGCAGAAAGGACAGAGGATGAAGAGGGTGACGGGCACTGGGCTCAAGCTGCAGCTGTGACTGCTCTGGGACACCAGGCTGAGGGGAGGCCCAGCATAGCTGGCAGGCAGTAGATGAACCAAGGCGCCTTTGAGCAAGACAGGGCCAGAAGGGCGGGAATGCTTTTGGTCAAAACAAAACAAACAAACAAGAAAGCTGGAAGGGAGAGTTGGTAGTGGGGAAGGAAAAGGAAGTAAGAAAATGAAGAAAGTAATACCATGAATTTCCCACAGGAGCCACAAGAGCAGCCCAGGGCGGGTGGTGAACCCTCGAAGGCCAGCAGGACCCAGAGGACACCTCTGACTCCAGAACCAGAACCCTAGGTGCCCTGGGCCGCTGAGAGGGACAGGGCCACAGTGAGGATCCACCGAGTTCCCTGGAGCCTCCCCCTCCCCCCCCCAGCAGCGCAGCGGTGCAGCCCTGAGGAGCTGGCTCAGGCGGGAGCCTGGAGTGAGGCCCGCCCCAGGCGGTGGGAAGAGAAGGTGGGGTCTTGTAGTGGAAGGGGACGCTGCTGGGCGCAACCCTGGAGCTCCGATCCTTGTCGTACTCCCGGGTTCTCAGGCCTCCCTGTCCGCTAGGATGGAGAATAAACCACCCTCTTGGGACGCAGCCGCAAACAACTGCCCCTACCATTTTCAGGAGGGGAATGAAAACGGACTCCCCTTTCCAAAATCCCTCCAGAGGTGCCAATCTCTGGAAAAGCAAGGGTGGAGACTGTAGCATCATTGGAAAGGAGAATGCATTTGTGAGCAATTAGAGAATTCAAATCGAGCATGAAAGCAATTTGTTTCTTTTAAGAAACAAAATGACTGCGGGGATCCCAGGGAGGTTAGCTGGATTGGGTGAGCGTTGGGTCAAGCTTACGCCAAGGCCAGCGCCCTGACATTTCTGTCTCCGGAAGCGGGGGATCCTCCTTGTAACGCCCCAACAGCCACGCTGGGCGCGGCTGGCCCGAGGAGTTTCGGCCCTCCTGGCCAAGGCCTGTAGAATTAATTCCCAGGTCCCGAGGCCTAGAAGCCATGAAAGGCTGGGGCCCTGGAGTCTGGAAAATCGGCCTTCGCTCTCCAGGTGAAACTGAAAGAAGCCAAGCTCGAGTTTCATTGGTTCTGGCCTCGCCTGCACCGGGGCCAGGGCGCCTGCCATGTGGCCTTAACTCTTCCTTGCTGCCAGCGACCCAGCGAGATCTGTGGTGTTCTGGGGAGTCTTGTCACATCAACCCTGGGAGGTTAATCTCTAAAATGGGGTAACAAGTGAACCACGCCCCATCCTCCGCTCTGGCGGTGGGCTTCCGTGCGGGACAAAGGAGGCTGCGCCGAGGAGCAGAGCGCTTTTGGATTCTGAGGGTGACAGACGCGCAGGTGTCCGGAGCTGAGCTGTCGAAGTCTGGTTTGCTCCTAAACGCTTCAGGATTTCAGCGAAAGTTTGTACCAGCTCATTCTTGGAACGAAGTAAAGACTTAAGGGAAGGGCTACGAAAATAAAAGGCAGCGCGAGAGGACGTGGACGGGCTCGCGGAGTAGGGGAGGGGTGGAAACTGGCTGCGGGTACACTCTGGGCGCTTCCTAGACTCGGAAGCCGCCAGAAAACAAGGACTTCGAGGGTTTTGCTCCCGGAATCTGGATTCATTGGTGGCGCAAAACCCCTGAGGTGGTGATTCCCTGAGCTGCACGGGTTTGAGTCCTTCCTGCAGGGCAGGGGCTGGACTCCTGGGGGGTGGGGAGAGACTCCTCATTCGAGGCAGAAGGGAGAGCCCGGCTACTCCCTGCTCTAATTACTGGTCCCCCAAAACCGCACCGACAAAGTTTTAGAGAAAACACGGCGTCCAGGAGGGCATGTTAAACTAGAAGTTTATAAATTAAAGAAAAAAAATACAGCGAATACAGCTTCCACACTTCACAAATCTCTTCAAAGATAATACTCTAGTTGAGTGCACAGCGCCCCTAAGGAGGCGAAAAGCGGCGAGCTGACAGGACAGGCGGGGTCGGTCACCTGTCTTGGAACAGGTGTGTGTTGGGGGGTCCCAGGCCAGGCGCGGGAAGCGGGGTGCGGAGCTGCGGACGCCGTGGAAAGGCTGGGATCTTCACATTGAATACAAAAATAACCGTTATTTGAACACAAACAACTGCAAAGTGCTACAAGTCTGAACCTCCTCTGGAAAAAAAAGCAAGCAAGCAAGCAGATTTCTGCGAAGAGCCATGGAGCGTGCCCTCCTCGCTTGGGGCTCCCAGGCCTGCCCCTCGCTCGCTCGGCTCACGAGCTCTCTTCCTTACATTCAACGCCCGGGAGGGCGCCCTCTGAGGTCTGACCAGGGAGGGCGAGGCAGAGGTCCACGCCAAACCCTCTCCGGTTCCCCTCAACCCCTGGCCTGGGGCCGCCGGGGTTGCGCACTCATTTGTCACAAATGCAATTTTCAAAAATAAGAGATATGTAGATACACATAGATCGGTAGCATGGATACCATGAACGAGTGTGGCCTAGCGCACGAAGCTCTGGGCAGGCCTGAAATTCTGGGAACTTTCTCCGGGAGTCCTCTCCGCCCCGGGGAAACGCCGTCCCGGGCAGACACAATCCAGATCCGCATCCTATATTGTCCTGGTAATAAATAGTGTCCCGGGGCCCACACGAGGCTCTTGGGCTACGGGGAGCCTCGGTCCAAATTAGAAAAAAGGCGCTCCCCGGTGCGGACTCCGTTCCGACCCGGGCCACAGAGCGAGCCGGGCGGGCCTCGTCCTCCGCGCCCTCGAGCGGGTCCCGCGTGGAGCGGGCGCGGGAATCCTTCGCCGCCTCCCGCGCCGCTCGCTCACTGGGTGCCCGCGGCGGCTGCGCAGGGGGAGAGCGCCCAGGCCGGCAGGCAGTAGTATGGGTAGTAGTAGGACGGCTGCAGCTGCAAGAGCGAGGGCGGCCTCAGCACCTCGCCGGGCAGGTACTGTCTCTGGTCGTCTCGCACCAGCACCTTCACCGCCACTTTCTTGGCCGCGGGCGCGGACGCCAGCAGGTCTGCGGCCATCTGCCGGCGCTTAGTCTTGTAGCGACGGTTTTGGAACCAAATCTTCACCTGCGTCTCGGTGAGCTTCAGCGAGGCGGCCAGGTCGGCGCGCTCGGGCCCCGACAGGTAGCGCTGGTGGTTGAAGCGGCGCTCCAGCTCGAAGACCTGCGCGTGCGAGAAGGCGGCCCGCGAGCGCTTCTTGCGCGGCTTGGGCGCCGCCGGTTCCGGTTCCTCCTCCTCCTCCTCCGCAGCGCCTGCCGCTCCGCCGCGGGCCCCGCTGCGCAGCCCCGGCCCGCGGGCACCTCCTGAGCCCGCGCTGTCGTCCTCGGCTCTCGGGCTGCGGTCGCCTGCGGACCCCCGCGGGAACAAAAACAAGGCACTGTCAGATCGCAAAGGTGAGGCTGACTTCCACCGCACAGTCCCAGCAGATTTGGGCGGAAATTCACTGTGCCCCCGCGCAGCGGCAGGGAGGTCCTCGGGTCCTCTCGCCTCTGACGTCTAGGCCTCTTCCTTTGCAGGTCACCGGCCGACAGCGGTGCCAGTGCGAGCGGAGGCCGGGTCCCCCTCAGTGGCGTGACTGTGGCCCGAGCTTCCCGCGCCCCTAACCCTCCGCACCCACCGGGCCTGCGCTGTAGCCTGCGTTTGTCTCCCTGCTGGGTTCACCCGACTCCTACGGCGACACGTGCGAGTCTGTCGCAGCATACACGCCTTATCTACGCTTAGGGAAGCTGGGAGGTCAGCGCTAGAAGGAGTCTTTTTCCCCAGCTACCCAGGATCGCCACTCGAGGCCTCTGCTGGGCTTCTCGCCATTTGGCCAGGATGTGAGTGGAGAGCTGGCGCTGGGTGACGAGGGGTCTCCTGCTCTACAGTAGCTTCCCCGCGGGCTCCTCCTCCCCTTCCCGCAGCCCTCCGGGGAGAGGCCGGCTCTGGGCCAGCCTGAGGCCTACAGCAGCCTGCGAAGCAAAGAGGGTGGGCACGGGGTCTTTCAGACCGGCCTGCGGTCGGGGAGAACCCTCTCCCGGGTCCCACCGGAAGGATCTAAATCGGGGCTCCTCCCTCTTGCTCCCAGGTCCTCAGCCCTTTCCCCGGTTGCACGGTTATGTAGTTGGAGGCGAACCCCCGTATCTATTCTTGCGTTATGAGCGTGGGTCCCGGGACCTCCGGTCTTTAGCATGTCTGCTCCCTAGCAAAACCACGTCTGTCTGAGGTCTCCAGACTCTTTCAGCTGAGGGGATGAGGACAGACCCAGTCGGGCGCTGGTGATGAACGCCCAGCACCCCCAGCATCGGTTCTCTCCGACCCTGTCCAGGGCGTTTCCCCGGCCCTGGGGCTCAGAGGAGCCCCTCGGTCCCCTCCCCAGGTCGGCTCGCTCCTTCGAGGATCAAAGCAGCCCCCGCTAGGGGGCAGGGCTCTGGGACGAGGCCAGCGCCCGCGACCCCGCTACAGGGTGCTCACGGCAGCCCCCGCGCTGCGTGGCGCCCTCCGCGTCCGCACGCCCCAGCCCAGCCCCCTCGCGGCGTACCTGAGACGCTGGCTGACGTCTCGCTGTCGCTGCGGCCCGCCGCTTCCTCCTCCAGGTCCTTGGCTCCGTGCAGCTCGCACACGGACGGCTCCAGGCCCGGGCCCCCCCCGGCTCGGCCGGCCCCGCTGGCTCCCGGCGCGTCCGTGCCTCGCCGCCGGCCCTCGTCCTCGCTGAGCGCGGAGTCGGAGTCCCAGCCGCCCGGGCTCCCCGCGCTCTGCCCCGCCGCCGTTCCGGCCCGGGCGGAAGACGCCCGCACAGAGTCTCCTGCGCCCCGCAGCGCGCCCCTGTCCGCCTCCCCAAAGAGCCGCCAGCAGCAGACGGCGGGGGCCGCGGCCACAGTTACCGCTGTGCCCCCCGGCGCCGGGCGCTCCTCCTTCTTGTTGAGGATCGCCTGGATGGAGAAGGGCGTCAAGGTGTTGGCGCCGCGCACCGCCATCTGCGCCGCCCCGGGCGGCCGCCGGGGCAGCAGCGACCGGGCGGACACGCGGGCGACCGCGGCGGGCGCGAGTGAGCCGCGCGCCGGGCCGGAGCCTCCTGCCCGCGCCCGCCCCGCGCGGAGACCCCCTCCCCCGGACGCGGCTCCGCACGCTCTAGCGCGCGCTGGCTCGCCGGATTAGCTCATCGCCCGTCGCCCTGGGGGCAGGCCGAGGTCTGCCCCTCGGGGAAGCAGCGCCGAAGGCTGGGGACCCCTTCGGCTGCAGTCCCTCTCCTTTGCGCCCGTCCCTTCCCCGCCAGCCGGATTTGCTCCTGGCCGGTCCCCGTCTTTCCTGCCGCGCCGGCTCTTCGGGTCCCAGCGCCTCCCCGGAGGCTGCGGCGGCCGCTGGGTTCGGAGAGGACCAGGGCACCTCTACCCTGTGCCCGGTTTTATCTGTTTCTTCTCTTTCCTTCGCCTGCGTTCCCCGCAACACGCCCCCCCCCCCCCGCCCGGGTGTCATTCCTTACCCCTGAGTGACAGCCCTAGGCCACGCCCCTTCACGGGCCGTCCGGGGCGCTCGGGGCCGCGGATTGGCTGGCTCCAGCTGGGAGACGTTGATTTTAAGAGACAAAACTGGGCGAGTTGAGCGGCTGCGGACAGGGTCGGACTTAACTCTTTCCCTCCTAAGCCTGGTCTTCGGAGCATCCTCTCTCAACCAGGATGCTCACCTCGAAACCAGGCTTCGGACTTCTGCAGACAAACCCGTCCACTCCAGCGCTTTGCTAGAGCACTGAAGCCAAGTTCGGTCAACATCTGCAGCGAGAATCCAAGATAATGCAGTTTCCAAAGTGACACCCACAGCTTCTGTTCTGTAGGAAGAATCCTAAAGTCGAGGAACAACAGAATGCTTATTAATCACCGAAGTTTCGCTGCTTCCTCACTGCTAATTCTCTTCGCAAAAGCAATCCGTTAATTTTTTAAAAAACACGCTAGAAAATAGTTTTCTTTCCTTGCTGTCTTTGATTTGCTGCTTCGATTTCTAGAGAGGCATTAAAAAGATAAAAAAACTGTTACAGTTAAAACTGAAGTTAGAGGAGAGATTGAAAGTTCCCTTTGGGAGAGTTTCTGAAATTGTACATTTTTCTGAGCGGTCAATACTGACTTTAATTGGGGTTTGTTAAAGATTCGCGTAAAGAAGAAAAATAACTTTCAATTTGTTCTTTAAGTATTCTGTTACTTGTATATGGAATGGGAACAGTTATGTATTTGTTTACAAGAAAACCTGGGAATGAACCATAGCAGCGACCTAGCACTGACATTTACTGCTCCTTAAAAACAAGAAATGCGTGGTTTTATCTCCTTGAAAGAACCATGTAAGAAACAAATATTGCTGGCACATCAAAAACAAATGTTGCTTATGTATGTTTCTATTTTTAAATAAAAAATTTGTCCGTAATATATTTGACTGTCTGATACATTTTACCAAAGGCTTAGCAGCATCAGCTACACAAGCTCGATCCACGAGATAAATGCAAAGAACTGTGATTTCAATTCAAACGACGCTGGATCGGGCGTCTTCGGTGTCTTTCACTCAGGTGAGGCTTCCTCGCTTGCCTTCCTTTCGTTCTTTTTCTGCCCGCAGGCGGAAGTGCATGGAGGTCAGGGCTCAGCCTCAGACCCAGACTTTGCAGGCTTTCAGCCGTGCGAGGTTTTCCTGTTCCCCGCAGCCCCGCGACTGCCCAGGGAAAACATCAGACTGGACGAGGCCATCGCCCCGCGAGCTCTTACCCGCGTCAGCTGGAGGGAAAGGCGTGCAGACTTGGGGTCGCCCAAGTGTAAGGCCCGGCTCGCTCTGCAGGCCTGGAGAGGACCCGACGAGGTTTCCGAACACGGCCTCCCCCTCCCGGACCTTTTCCTATTTTTTTTTTTAATGCTGCCCCACTCCGCGCTGGGGAGCGGGCTGGAGTGCGGATAATCGCCGCTGTTCGCGGGGGCGGGCAGAGGCCGAGGCGGACCGAGGGCCGGACAGGTAAGGCAGGTTGCGGGCCGGCAGGTGTGACACAGCTACCGGCTTTGCGGGGCCAGGACTCGGTGGGACAAATAAGAGTGACTTGGGACCGTGGGGGTAGGCAGAGAAGTTTGGGAGTTCAACGACCGAGTACCAGGAGAGCTCTGGGACTGTACCGCAGTTCCTCGAAAACGATGCACGTAGCTGACGAAAGTCTTTTAATAAAGACGCTCAAATCGGAGTGGCCACGGGTTCGACCGGTCCGGCGCCGCCCCAGGCCGCGTGCCCGTTCCGCGGGGTTAGACGCGTTGGCCTGGGTGGGGCGAAAGGCTTTGGGGCCGCGGTGGCGCGCGGAGTCCTCCCAGGGTGTGGCCGGCTCAAGGCCTGCGAGCGCGAGGCGCGACTCGGGAGGGGCCGGAGCCCGCGGGGGACGGCGGGGCCTTTTCCCGGGCCAGGGCCGCGCTCGCTCCGGCCCCGCCTCCGCCTCCCGCGCTCTTCTCCCACCTTCCCCGCGCCCCCCGGGTCCTCCCGGCCGCTAGGCTCCTTCGCGCCCCCTGCGTGCCGCGCCCGCGGCTCCCCAACAGCGCAGCGCCGCGCGGGCGCGGAGCCCGGGGCCAGTGGGACTTCGGCGGGCGCCAGGAGAGGGGCCCCGGCCGCGAGTCACAGGCAGCGCCCGCACCGCGCATCCGCGCTGCCCGGCGCCGGCGACCTGCCCTGGGCGCCCGAGGCCCACGACCCACGCGGTGCCCTGCGCGGCGAGCGGACCCCGTCCGGTGTCGCCCCGTGCCCTCCCCACAGGGCCTTCACGCCCACGGCCGACGCGGGACCAGGCCAAAGTAGCTTCACATTTAAACATCGCTCAGGCACTGAGCCAGAGCCGCAGCCTGCCGCTTTATTTAAATTGCTCACCCGTGGGGGTGCGATGGATTCAAAACATTGTCATTGCTCCCATTTTACGGAAGGGAAACTGAGACTCGTGGCCCGCAGCAGGTGGCCACGTCGAGAGTCACATCTGCTTTTGTGTGATGCCAAATCCAGTGGATTTTCCCTTTAACCAGCGCTTCCCGATGTTCAGGATTCGAATTACTCGTTCATCGGGAAAAGAGCTTCGTTCCAATTTAAGGAAATCGAGGAAAGGATTGAAGCAGGCGTGGCTGATGATTCTTCCCTGCATTTGACATGAAGCTCGCTGAGGCCCGCGCACCTGAACCTAAACCTTCAAGGAAAAGGAATCAAACCATTTGCAGGATAATCAATAAGCTACACCGCGTGTAGAGGGGACTGCTCGTGATGGAATCCCGTCGGGTTCGGAGATCAGATTATGCTCTGGAGGCTGAGGTGCAGGGAAACGACCTCACCGAGCTCAGTAGAAAGTTCCGCAAGTATAAAGCGGGGGCTTGGCGATCCCCCTCAGGGCATTAGGAGGAAACGCACGGCGGGAGCCCTCCCGGGTACCGTGGAGAACGAGCGCCACCTAGCGGGCGCCCCCTTCGCCACGCGCGGCCGGTCGACCCGGACAGAAGTACCGCGTGGAGAGCCCGCCAGATAAAGCTGGTTTCCTCCGCCTGCTGCTAACCCAGCCTCGCTGCGCAGCTCCACGCAGACTCTGCATGTTGCCTGCCCTGAGATCTCCAAGGGGGATGGGTTAGGGCACGTGCCCCGGGCGTTTTATTGGAGCAGTAGGAATGTTTATTGGGGACTTTCATTCATGATACCAATGAGGCGTCTGATCCTAACCGTCACAATGTTCAGGCCTTGCAGAGGAATCGTCTGCACCCTGGGCTCTGTTCTCCCTTTTCTCCACCTGGTTGTCTACCAGAGGGTGGGTGGGTGGAGGAGCGGGCAGCTCAGGAGGGGAGCAGCTGTGAGCAGATGCAGATGCTGGCTGCTGTTGTTTGTGGTGTGCAGAGATGCCTGTGAAACACAAGAAAATCTTCCCTACTGATGAGGCTTCCATCTCTAGGAAGCTGTCCTCGGCCTTCACAGTGTTTGCCGGTTCCCCTTGGGAAATTTTGCAGCTCTTGCCTTCCGGGTTTCAGGCACTGTTGTAGGCTCTGGAGGTCAAAACCTTGTAAGACCTCACAACAGGCTGATACTCTAGTAAGGGGGCACCATCGATAAATAAGTGCTTAAGTAAAGCCATGGGGAGAGCTCAGAGGCAGATGGGTGCTCTGGAGCAAAAGCAGAACGAGGGGCTACTTTACATGGAGTTAGACTGAAAGCAGGTAAAATACCTTGGGTCATTGGACATGGCAGCATACGACTGTAATCCCAGAACCTCAGGAGCCTGACGCAGGAGGATCACAAGTTCGAGCCAAACCTGGGCAGGAGACTCCTGTCTGAGAAAATAAAAGTAGGTCTGGGGATGTAGGTGAGCTCAAAGGCCCTGGGTTCAATTCCCAGTATAAAAAAAAAAAAAAGGAAGAGATTTTCACAGTGAGGGAAATGGATGCAAAGAGCACCTTATTAAGCTCTGAATGTTTGTGTCCCCTCAAAATTCGTATGTTGAAATTGTAACCTGTAATGTGATGCTGTTCGAATGTGAGGCCTCTGGGAGATAATCAGGTCATAAAGATGGGGCTCTCATGAATGGGATTAGTGCCCTTATAGGAAGATACAAGATAGACTTTTGGTGTCCATCTCTGTCTCCATCTGTCTCTGCCCCTCATCATCATAGGACGATGCAAGAAAGCGGTCTATTTTCAAAGGCAGAAACTGTTGGCAGCTTGATATGGGACTCCCAGCCTTCTGAACTGTAAGGGACAAAGGTTTGTCACTTCAGTCACCCATATTCTTGTTAGAAAAGCCCTGGCTGATGACATAACCATAGGGTGTTTGCAGACCCAACAGGGAGCTTCTGTGGCTGGGGGCAGAGTTGGGGAGGGGCAGCGGTAAGCGCTGGAGCCCAAGGCAAAACCAGATCAAGTAGGTTTTTGTTAGCCACAGGAAGAAGCATGGGTCTCATTCTAGGTATGTTGGGAAACCACAGGAATATTTTTAAGCTAAGAGGTAACTGATTATGACTTATCTTGTAAGGAAATGTGCGG